AGGCCAGCCTGGGCTACCAAGTGAGTTCCAGGAAAGGTGCAAAGCTACACAAGAGAAACCCTGTCTCGAAAAACCAAAGAAAAAAAACCAAAAAAAAAAAAAAAAGATAGTCAACTTAAGACCTAATTTGATGGTCTCAAAGAGAACCACTCCTGTGATGAGAAAATATATAACTAAGTCAGACTGAATCTGTCACTTGTTACACCAATACTTATTAGACATCTCTTTAGGCCAAACATTGGAGATTAATTAATAAGGTACCAACAGGAATCCAACGGACCTATTCCAGGGCTTACACTCAATAATTTACATCTGGGGTCACATACTTTCCGGGAGAGATTGCCCCATGCATTTTATAAGTTCAGCAGCACCCATGGCCTCTACTCCCTAGAGGCCAATAATATACACTTGAGCTGTATTGACCAAAAGAATCTACACATATGGTCAGATGTCCCCTGAAGGCAAAGTCACGAGTTGAGAGCTACTAGCCCGGTGGAGTAAATAGCAGAGGCAAGGTGGCAGGCAGCTCTGGAGCCCAAGGCATTTGAATCATGTTCTGAAGGATGGAGACATGTTTCCCACGCAGCGATGATGCTGGAGGGAGAACATTCCAAGTGGAAGAAGGAACAGCGGGAACAAAGGCACTAGGGTGTCAAAGAATGGATCAGCTGCTCAACATGGAGTAGCTGATACAGCAGAGGATGGGTGAGCTAGGGTTAGCCTAGTTTGAATAGGACGCTTATGCGATCCTGAAGTGAAGGAACACTTTAAAGCGGAGGAATGTAAAGAGCATGCGCGTTTTGATCCGTGGACACGGAGGTGGGGAATGTGAAGGGACAATTTAAAAAGAGGCCATACGTGCTTGAACTGAGGGAGAAGGAGACGGTATTTGAAGGCTGGCTTGGAAACAGAAATCACAGCACTTGGGTCCAGGGGAAGTGAGGAAGAGGACAGGATGGCTGGGGGAGACCCCAGGGCCTCAGAATTGAGAGAATCTCAGTGGGTTAGCTTTGACACAAAGGTCTCGTTCTAGAGTCTTATGTAGGAAGACCAGGCTCTGCAGCAGAGTCTACTAGGGAGTGTTTGTCCTCGTCTTGCCTGCTGCTTGCTCTATGATCAGACTCGTGGAGTACACCAGGTTGGCAGAACCCACCCACAGAGAACTTAGTTAGAGAACCAGGCTACTAGTCTTGTTATTGCCGGCCCCCAACAGTTAGGGAGCTCGGAGCCTCCATGTACCCACTTGTGACAGAAGAGAGCCCCGGCTCCCGGCCTAGCAGGATGTGGTAGGAGTGGATATGGCTGTTTTGGTGGGTGGTTCAGACCCTCGTGGGGACTTGGCATGCAAGGCCTGCAGTTGGCGAAGCTCGTGTGTGGTTGTAATCAGGCCTGATGGAAAGGCCCCCTGACTCCACCGCGGCCTTGAGTGGCTGCCAACTTACTCTGCAGCCAGGCCTGCTTCAAAACTTGCCTGCAAGGTTTTTTTTTTTTTTCCAGGATGTCTGCTTCCTGCAAATAGGCTTTCCCAAACCTTCTCAGGCTCCAGCAAAGCCCTCTTGGCTGTGCATCCAACTGTCTTTCAGGGTCCCCAAGCTCAGTGGGAAGTCAGGAGACAAAGCTCCTCCAGTTGGCTGCAAGCAAGGCCTCAGCCCTCCCTCCCTCTCAGCCCCCTCCCAGCCTTCTCAGCTAAGTTAAAGTGAAAGGCAGGCGAGGAGGCCAGAGAAGAGGCTACAGACAGAGGCTGGCCAGGTGGGCCAGTCAATGATTACCTTAGGCTTACTAGAAAATACCTGGGCTCTTGGGGTGGGCAAGGTGGGTAGATGGCATCAGGAGGCAAGCAGTGTTCATGCGTGCGTGCGTGTGTGTCTGTCTGTGTGTGCGTGTGTGTGTGTGAGAGAGAGAGAGAGAGAGACGTTGATGGTGCTCTCGTTCTCCAGGCAAGAACAGGGGCTGCATTGTTAGCAGCCTATCTCTCGGTTTCTCATTCACCCCGGGCCACTGCAGCCCGAGCAGGTTCACAGCTGCTCAGGGATACACTTTCCAACACATTTAGGACTTGGAACGGTCCCAGGTTTGGGGAACACATGGTGGTGGGGGAGGGAGAGGGGCTCAGATAGACGGGGAAGGGGGAAGAAAGCTCCTTCTCTCTTCTTTCAGGCCAATCTCCATTTTCATCATCTGATAGCAGGAACAGCATGTGAGGACCGCGGATGAATCGCCAACCTGTGCAGGTCGGGGGAGAGGGCAGGCAGGGGTGAGGGGAGATGGGCAGATCTCACCCATCCTGACAAGGTCCCCTCTCACTTGCAGTTCTTTCTCTGCTTACAGTTACCACCCAACCTCAGCCTACCAGGAGCACTCCAGCCCACACCAGAAACCACTCACGGAGCGGGCTCCCAACGACCAGGGCCGAGGTGCAGAGAGGAGCCTGGGTCCATCCCTCCAGTGATTTTGAGTGGTTCTGTTCCTTTCTGCTCCTGCTGCTTGATAGGAGACATAGACGACTCCCCCAGCCTCTTCTCTCTCTCTCTCTCTCTCTCTCTCTCTCTCTCTCTCTCTCTCTCTCTTCCTTTTTCCTGAGGCAAGTCATTACCTCACCACGGACAGGGGCCCAGTGGTACCACCACCTCTTACATTCTATCCACATCCAACCACAATCATTTATCAATCAGCTAATGAATTTTTCCAAAAGCCAAATATAGTTCAGGTGCTAGAGATTAGCACAAATGGAGTCCCCGCCTTCCAGTTAAAGAGAGAAGCCAAAGGAACGGGCAAGCATTTTTAGCACCATGAGGACTCAGGCACAGCAAAATCAGACCTGAACACCCTGCCTCCTGTGACATCATGCTGCAGGCTGCTCCTTCCCCGGTCACGGTCTAACTGAGTAACCTGGGCAGGTTTCTTTGTGTTCCCTCATTCATCTCAGCCTGGCAAAAGTGGATGGTTGAAAGTGACCCACCTACCTGCCAGGCTGGCTTGAGTCAGACCCCGTGGACACCATCCCTTGGCAAACCAGAAAGCCTATATCAGATTCTCATGTTCCTCTTTTCTCCCTTGCTCCGTGGGTGCCTAAGGATCAGGGATCGTCCCCTGGGAGCCAGGATGAGAACAGGGAGGTTGATGTGCTGATGGAGTTGGCCACCCCTCCCTGCCCAGCCTGCCTGGGCAGTACTGCACAGAGCTGGCCTCTATGTGGGGTTCAGAGAGTCTCCTGGCTCCCACACAGGGCCCTTTTCTCCTGCGCTCCTACACAAAGCTCGCTCACAGTCACCCATTCAGAAAGCTGGGTGATTGAAAGGAGGCTGCAGGCCGGCAGGGTGACCTTCGGGTCTGCCTGGGTGGGAGAGAGAGTTAGACCCTCCCGAAGCCCCCCAGGCGCTAAGAGGACCAGCTGGGCTTTGATTCCTCACAGACACAGCTAGGAAGATACCTTGGGGTGAAGAACGCTGGCCTGAGGTGCTGGCTCCCAGCCCCAGTGAATTACTTACCCTTCTTTTCATTGCTCCCATTCACAAAAAACGGAATAAATAATCACCCCCACCCCACCCCCAACCTCGGAGTCGACTGAAGAAGTGGGGGAGGGGACTCTAGGTGTTTGGCAGATAGATGGATTTGCAGCTGAATAAACGGGTCTAACCAGTGTGTTAAAACAAGTTCAGGCCTCGGTACGTTCTAGTCACCACGCTAATGGCACTTTCTGTGAAGATGGAATGTTCCATGCTGTACTGCCCCACGGGACAGCCACAGTCTGCAGGTGCTGCTACCAAGCAGTGAAATATAGTTAGTGTGACCAAAAAAACAACTAACCTTCCATTTCATTTAGTTAGGTTTAAAGAGCCACATGTGGCTAGTGATAACTGATGAGTGGAAAAGGGTCCCTGAGACTCTGACTCTGCAGCCTATGCTTGCCACACTGTGTGTGTGTGACAAGGACCCATGGCTCAATCTCTTGGGTCTCAGTGGCCAATACCAAGCATGTCGGGGCTGTGGGCAGCTGGCACTACGCCCCTAGACTCCAGGTCCATCCTTCCCGCACTGCCCCCATCGGGCACATTCCCTGCAGAGTTGGTCTGAGGGCCCAGGATGCTATGCTTCCCCGGGCCTTTTCTGCCAGCAGGCCATACTCAGGGGAAATCGCCTCTCTCTGGTACATGGAAGATTTCATATACAAGCCCAGAAGCTGCAGGACAGGCTGTCAGTCAGGCATGGGCCTTCTCTTCTGTGGCCCCCAGATTCATCTTCTGTGAACAGATGTTCCTGGATCCAGTTGGTGATTCTGACAGCTCATGCCAGACAGTGATACAGCGGAAGGAAGTTCCGGCCCCCACTTCTCAGTGGCCAGCTGCCTCCTACCTGAACTGTGGCTCCTGTGCCATCTCTGCCTGAGTCAAAGATTATCTGATGTACATCCCACCTGCAGAGAATCTACTTATTATCTTCCCAAAGGACAGCCGGTTCCCCTACAGTCCCAGGCACCAATGCACTCCTAAGACCTGGCCCCGGTCTTTCTGAGAAGTGCCAGACACCATGACAGAGGAGAGAGGGTGTGGCCAAGTCAGCTGGCTGCTCCCTGGGCTACTAAGAACAGGCACATCCCCTGCTTTGCTCTCCATGGGTTTCAGCAGCCTTCTCAGAGGTAAGTGGTAGCTGCTTGAATTAAAAATCTAGGCCAAGGAAGTCAGCCCCAGCCAGTACCCCCAGGACTGTCATCATGGCATATGGCATAGGGGCTTCATCTGGATGACAAGGGCCTCCTTTCATGAATATGGCCAGACAGAAGAGTTGGTAAGCTCCGGAAAAGCCAACAGGTAAACCAGTGTCCACAGAGCCAAGAATGGGGAAACTTGGTTTTCCCCATGGCTCCTTCATCTCCAGGTCACAGGTATGACCCACCACCCAGCACCCGGGCACAGTCCTTCGACAAGAAGAAGGGGAAGAACTCAGCTCTGCCTCCAGAGGGTAAGCTCTGGGTTCGAAATCTACCTAGAGCTTGTGTGCGAGCTTGGCCCCTCCTTCACTGCACCCTCATCCAATCATCACCGCCACTGCCATCATCACCGCCACATACGCAGCACCGATTTTAATGCAGAACTTGCCTCGGTCTTTACTATTTCTCCCTCGTGACGACTCTACGAACTGAACTCCATGATCCTTATCTCGCAGGTGGAGAAACGAAGAACCAGGGAAGTCATTAGCTGGGATAAAAAAAACTACATAACTCTTTGGAGAGAGGATGCAATGCCTAGGCGGCCACTCGCTGCACCACACAGCTAACCACTCAGGAGAAAGGCAGGAGAGGAAAGGTGTGAGAGACAGGGGCTCCACTGCTGAAGAGGCGGTGAAACCGAGAGCAGCAAGGAGCAGTGGGGGACGGAGCAGGCAGGAAAACCCCCACGGAACCATCTGGGGGCGTAAGGGGATCTCCTTTCCTCCAGGCCAGCCAGTTCTACTGGAAAAACAGCCTCCCTGCCTGGCTTGGCCACCTTCTGGTCTGTCTTCTTTCAGATCTGGTTCTCCCCTCTCTCTGGGGCCAGGGGGTGGGGGGAGGTTTGGTGAGGCCTGCCGTCTTCATCTGGGCCCCTTGAAGCCAAGCAAAGACAAACAGCCCTTTGCCAAGATCTTTCATCTCAGTCATTGACTCTCACAGATGTTTTCTGCAATATAAACAAGAAACAAGGAATGTTGGGGAGGACAGGAGTGTGGGAGGGGGCAGGAGAAGGAGGAGTGAAGGAAGGCCTTTGAAATCAGCTCCTGCAGAGGCCAGGAAACAGGGCCTCCCTCCTGCCCTGAGAGCATGGGCAATCTCAGGATCACTACAGTGGGCCTAGCAGACTATCACTGCCCTGGAAAGAGGTTCTGGAGAAGTAAGCCAGTTGCCGGGCAACCTGGACATGCCTGGGAACTACTGAGGCCTTTGAGATAACCTAGAATAAAGCCCCTGTGGGGCCCACTTGCCTAGCTTAGCACACCTAAAGCTGGGCAAGGCTCTGAGGGAAATTTTGAAGAGCTGTCGGGAAGACCAGTAGGGGGCGTGGCCCTCACAGTGGGCATTGTTAGTAAATAGGCTTTGGTTGTAGCACAGGAAAGAGACGCGGACTGGAGGAAGTTGGAAAAAGCATAAACTTACAGTGAGTCAGGAAATAAATTGAGCAAGTCAAATGTCTCCAAATTCAATGTTCCCTGAGATGATTCCTGTTCATGTCAGAAACTAACAAACCTTGGGCTGCAAGCTCAGATGCCCATGGGAGCTAGCCGGCACCCAAACCAGTGAAGACAGGACCTGTGTGACCCCAAGAAGACAATCCCATCCATAGGTGACAGCCATAACTCAGTTTCTGTTGGATTTTAAAGAGAGCCCAGAAATCCATAGCTTCCCATAAAATCTTCTGTTTTGAACAATTATTTGCAATCACCAAAACAAAAACACAATGTGTTGGCCACATGAGGGGAGCCTGTGGGCAGCTTTCGTTTGTGAACCACAAACAGTTGCGCAATGTTGTTGGTCAGTTGAGTAAATGCTAACTTGATGTTTACTCTTCCTGCTCCTGACGTCACAAAGGGATTTGCGACAAGGTTGAAAGCCTAAACAGCAAGCTTTTATTGGGCGTCTACTCTTTCCTCCAAATGGAGACAAACATTCAGGTGCGTTCAGAGGAGAGCCTTGTCCCAGACCCCCGGCCTGTGTTTGCATCTGTGGTCGGGAGACAGAGCAAGACAGGAAGGAGCACACTGTGATGGAGATCGGTTGTGTGGCACAGAATGTCCAGGGGAAAGAGACACCAGGCTTATCTGAGGAAGCCGTGTGAGGCTGAAGCCTTGGGAATTGGATAGGGAAAGCCGCCATTGCAGCCTAGTAATGAATTCTGAAACTGGGAGGCTTGTCATTGAACTTAAGACATTGACAGGACCTGGGACCTCAGGAAGGAAGCCCTAGCCAGCCTCCTTCCATTTACACACCGTCACTGCCATTGTACTGTATGGAATGTGTCCAATAGGCACTCCTCTGGAGTATTAGGGTGTGGGTGGCACAACCATTATTGGGGGGGCTATCAAAGCAGAGCATCCATTCAGGAGGAACTACCCTGCAGGCCTGGTGTTCAACAATGTAAGCAGTCCCACCAGCAACTCCTAAATGCCTGATAGCTGCTTCCCAAATCACTACACAGAGACATATATTAATTATAAATGCTTGGCTGGTAGCTCAGGCTTATTACTGACTAGCCCTTACACTTAAATTTAACCCATAATTCTTATCTATGTTTAGTCACATGGCTTGGTACCTTTTCTCAGTTCCGCATTCTCATCTTGCTTCCTCTGCGTCTGGCTGGTGACTCCCAACTCCACCCTTCCTCTTCCCAGCATTCTTAGTTTGGTCGCCCCACCTATATACTTCCTGCCTGGCTACTGGCCAATCAGCGTTTTATTAAACCAATCTGAGTGACAAATCTTTCTAGTGTATAA